TCCATCCCTCCATCCATCCATCCATCCATCCATCCATCCATCCATCCCTCCATCCCTCCATCCCTCCTTCATCCATCCATCCATCCATCCATCCATCCATCCATCCCTCAATCCATCCATCCATCCATCCCTCAATCCATCCATCCATCCATCCCTCCTCCATCCATCCACGTCGCCACGCCGCAGCTCCGCTACGCTGCACGCTGCGACGCTGCACGCTGCGACGCTGCACGCTGCACGCTGCGACGCTGTGACGCTGCGACGCTGTGACACTGTGACGCTGCGACGCTGCGTCCGTTTCAAATCTTGATTTGACAGTACTGTGTGTTGGGGTTCGCTCTCTATTACCATCACACTGAATGTCAGATCATCATGGCAACAAATCAACGAGCTATAGTCATTTTTTATTTTAAGCTGTGGTGGCCATCTTGAATGTTTGGATTTGAGTTCAGAATGTGTTGTGCAGTGGGGACCAACATGTCGGCGGACAGGTGACCCGCCTTCTGGCTGAGCTCCCATTGGCCCCGATAAAAACAGCTTTTTATGATGGTGTCCTCGCTGCCTTCAGACTGCTGAGACTGGTGTCGCCGTGCAGCTGAATCAACAAACTTGTGACACGGCCTCTAGACAAAAAAGTAGAAAACTTCAATCTCTTCTCCCCCACGGCATTTTTTCACCGGAGCAACCTGGAGCCGCTGTGATGGAGGAGCAGGTGGACCTGCAGGTGCGTCGGCCCCACCTTCACCGAGCTCTGGGGGGCGGATGAGTCGGCTCTGAGGTCAGACCATCTGGCCTCACTTAAACCTGAAGTTCCAGCGATGATGAGGATGGAACTAAGAGCGGCTCTGGAGGACTTTAACTTTATCAAGAGTGACCTGCAGGCGGTCCGAGCTGAGCTCACGAACACTGCAGGCCTCAGACCGGAGCTCGGCCGAGTTAAACTTGGTGCCTCAGAGACTGAGACCTGTGTGTCCTTGTGCTCGGATGAGATGGAGAAGCTGCGTGGGACGGTGGTGGACTTAAAGAGTGTAGTGATGGGTTTACAAACCAGTTTGAATCCATGGAGGGGCACATGAGACGTGATGGCATTAGAAGTATTGGACTTCCTGAGTCGGCGGGTGAAACTCCACGACGACAGATAAAAAACTCCTGGAAGTCCTAAAACTGGACACATTGATTTATATTGATGTGAATGACGGGGACAGGAAATCAGAAGATCTTTAACTTCCGCCTGCTCCTTATCGAACGAATGGTGCATGTCAACTGGCATGTCTCATTATTCTGATTTTCTTTCTTTCTTTTTACTTTTTATTGTCTGCTCAAAATAAATAAATAAATAAATGAATAAACGAATGAATGAATGAATGAATGAATGAATGAATTAATTAATTAATAAGCCCTAAAACTGGACAGACTGCAGCTGATTGATTACGTGTAGCGGACACCGAGCAGATGGAGGATCCAGAGTTCTCGTGTCCAGGCTTCACGACCATGAAGAACGTGTGAAACAGTACGGCGGGTCGCAGCCGTGGCCAGATCCACTTCAAAGAGTCAGCCATGTTCATCACAGCTGGCTGCACCCCAGGAGCAGCACAAGCACGGTGGCGAAGCGGCTTCTGCAGAACAGACCGGGGGTTCTGCATCACACATGGAGGGACGGACAAGGTGTTTGTCGACTCCATCAAAGAGGTGGAATACATGAAGACAAACATTCTCCCAGTGACGGCGGCGAGGATCAAACTCACTCACAGGGCTGCAGTTTTACTGCCACAGAGACACTGGACACCGGGAGAGTTTAGTGAATCTGTGAGGATTTAAGGTTTCGTGCACCATGTCTGATCAGGGACAGCTACAATACAACAAGCTCCTCGTGTACACATTTTATTTTAGGCTTGTCCTTTAACACTGTTGTGTTAACTTGTTGTGCAAATACAGTTTAGTCACAAATCTTCTTGTTCTTGTTGTTCTGGCTGCTCCGTTCTTCAGGGCTCTCCTCAGCGATCTGGCTCACATGAAGACCTGGTGGTTGGTTTTATGCTCGCTGCCCGTTCTGATTGTACAACAATCATTTGGTGCAGATCTGATAAAAAGAAACAAGGAACCCCGGAGCAAAAGTGTTTGATAAAATGGTCTTTGTGAGCTTTTCTTTTTTCTGAGGACTGGGCCAAGTTTTTCAGTCTGAAGAACGAGAGTTATGAAAATCTGTTGGGAGTTTGAATAGTTAAAGTAAAAACACTTTTTGTCTCGACTCTCGGTTGATGAAACAAACCAAACTCGTTTCCTCCACTAACCAGCGGCTGCTTACACGTGGAGTTTGCTCTCTTTAGTTGACACAGCCACATTTCTAAAAAGATGCTTCCAAACACGATGAACAACAACAAGAGTCCGGTGCGATTGCTGCTGATCCACTTTGGGCTCTGGATCGTTCACGAGGCCTCGGAGGGGCCGTGCAGCTGTTAAAGCTACGAACACATGGAGCTCTGCAGCGAGCTGCGTTCTTGTCCCCGTCTTGTTGTCGGCACAGCGACGTGCAGAGAAGCAGGACTGTTCTGTGAGGTCTTCAGATTTGTTCCACCGCACCACGTGAGGGAAGAGGAACGAAACGTGCAGTCTTTTGTTCTAAGCACACTAAGAGGATTAGTTTTCCTGTTAGAAGCAGTAAAGATAAATCTAGCCGTTGTTGTTTGACTTGAAGGCGTGTGCCGGTGCTTTCCCTCCGTCTCTTTCCTTCGGTCGCTCCGGCTCCGTGCTGCGGTCCACGGGGGAATTGGATTTCAAATGTGATAGAATTGTGTTCTCCTCCTTCCATCTGATCCTCCAGCTTCTCTCTG